AAAGAGGAAAAAGCTTCAGACACAGAACAGAAAGTCTGTCCTTTTGGCATTTCCTTTACTAGAAGCACACAGACTGTTTTCCCTGAATTCCAGATTTCCTGACAGTGGGAACTTTTGAAGGCAAAGATGTTTCTCCAGGCAGTTTAGAGAGGGCAATAAATTACAGAAGTCCTTGAAGTATTATCTACTAGCAGCTAAGAAACTGCTTTTTCTCTTTTCTTCCCCTTCCTTACCAAGAAGCTAGGAGTGGGGAGAGAAGTAATAAACTCTCAGCTCTGCAGGTACTTGGTATAGCGCTTAGATTGGAAAGTAGTGAAAGACACAAAATTTGCACATAGCCTTAACTTGTGTAAATTGCTGTGGTTCCAGTGGAGTCACTGAGGAAGTGCTGAGGTACAGCAGATCCATATTTAGACTTTTATAGATACAAGTAGGCTTATATATATAAAAATTTAAAAACTTTAGTTCAGTCAACATCTCTATGGAAACGCAAATCATCTCGAACCACAAACAGTACAAGCCTGTTAGTCTCATTTGCATTACAAAGCTGGAGGGACAATTTAATTTAGCTCAAGTTTGGGGTTTCATGTATGCATATATATATATTTATATATATATATATGTTTGTGTGTGTGCACGTGGCATTTGCAAATACACATGCAGAAGTACTTCATATATATCTTTATAAAAATAATTTTGGTTCTTCTGCAAAACAGACTGTTACCTGCTTGGTGATAAATCCCTCCAGAACTTTCATTCCCTTCAAGCCTACTAAATATCTGCGTTATTACCTATTTCACTTTTGAACTTACAACTCTTCTCTGACATATTGGCGGCAGACTCTGCTTGATTGCTGCTTTGTAACACATATAGTTTAATTGGTGAAGATTGAAGGTGATCTTACAGTCCAACAGGAAATGCTCAGTAATAAAACACTGTATGCTTTGCCAATGAAGCAGTGTTATCCAGTTTTACCGCATGCTGTTTTCTTCCTTTGCAGACTAACTCATTCATAAAATCAACTTCTAGAATGATTTTATTTAAAGAGAAAAAAAGGAGGGGTATGTTAGAGCCAGATATCTGATAGAGAGAATTCTCACTGTAATTTGACTGGTGGGCTACAATGTGAATTTTAATGTATTTTCCTACACACAACTGGCTTCTGCATTTAGTTGTGTTTTGCCTTTTCAAGGTTGGTTTGAGGCCTTTCAGTTAAGGAAATTGATTTGAGAAGCCAGGGTAAGAAGCAGGCATTAATATATATCACATAAAATGCAAGAAGACCTTTACGAATTTTTCTTCTTGCAAGGGAATGATTTTAAAATATAAAACAATTTCTAAATGTATTCAAAAAAGCGCATTCTTAATTTTGAATGCACTTTAGGTGCAAAATAGTAAGGATGTTGTAAAAAATCCATCTCAGATTAGAAGTTCATGGCTGTTAATTCTAATACATACCATGATCCATCACTGTGTGAGAGGTAAAATTTTTCATTAAATTTGTTTAGGGTTTTTAAAGGGTAAAAAAAAAAAAAGGATGTTTATATTTTGCATTCTGGCTAGGAAGAGGTTCACGGCACTGTGGCTCTGTGTTTTTTGCTGCGTACTAATCAGGTTGAAGTCGCTGCTGATCCAAAATAAATCTGGATCGGTATGGGAACAGCAAATAATCTGTACTGGTTCTTAAAGCCCGCTGAGAACAATGAGTTCTACTCACACACAATGCTGCGTTGCATTCTGTCCTTGGGCCAGTTATGGAAGTGAGAATCATGCATGTGAAACCTCTGTGCATTTTAGTCTTGTGTAGCACCCCGTCTAGCATTAATGCCCAAGTCCTAGTTAGGAAATGAACTGGTGGAGTACATGTCCTCATTTAAACCTTCATGTGCTTCAAGGGGATTCCTGGCCAAAAACCTCAGGAACGTTCTCCTCTCAGCGGTAAATGGTGGGGGTTTCTGTAGAAGCAGCAGCGGAGTTGTCATGAGACCACCACAGAAACATGTGACACAACCGTCTGCTCTTGTGTTTTTTGCCAGCAGTGCTGTGCCCACTCAGACCAAGTCAAAGTCTGAAGCCTCTCTCTTAAATTCTCCCCTCCCAAAGGCTAGAGAGCACAAGACCAGGGTGACTCATTAGGTAGGCTGATTTCCGGCACCAAGATGTCCACAGTAGAAAACAAAAATGGCAAAGCCAGTTTCTGACATGGAGAATTCCTGCAAGTTTGCCCTGTGGCCAAAACAGAGTTGACGAAACTCCCACCACTGACCAGCTCGGCTATCATCAAATGTTTCTGTGCTGGACTGGTTAAGACACCAAGCACCCTTGTCAAGCTCTCCTATCTCCAAATAGGTCTAGGTCCTTTCACTGGTTTTGGTCACGTTTGAGTGTTTTTGAGACACTATTGCATGTCTCCCAGCTGGCTTTGTGGACCTTTGAGGGACCTCATGTGGATCCTGCTGTATTTGAGGGGTGGCCACTGTAGACACCTGGGAGGTCTGTCCTTCCTAGGTCTTGGATCCCTTGTATTCTCCTTCTTGTTTCTGAATCTACTCATAGGTCTGGGGAACGACATTCCCTCCCAAAGGGACCTGCACATTTTTGGCATCCAGACTGGGTGCCACTGAAATCACTTGGGACAGCTTGTGCTTTTGGTCCAGAATCGTGGAAATCTTAACAAAAACATTGATCTCTTGAGAGCGATCTGCTGATTTGGGAAGGACAAAAGTGTCTTGTAGCTCTGATTTAGTATAGCATCCAAAGCCGTGCTCCTTTGCTGCAGATTTGCTAGAAGGAGTAAGGGAGCAGCGTTCCTTTGGTAGCTGTGTCTGTTCTCACTAACACGGCACAAGTGTACGAGTTCCCTAACGCGTTTAGCCCACACCAGCCATGAGTCCCATTGACCCCATTTACATACATACAGGCATCGGTGCATATGGAGCATGACCTCCTCTTCAGACAGCCCTTCAGTGTTGCGCACCATTCTAGGTGAGCACTGTGGAAATTAAGTGGGGAGACAACTGGAAATCAGGAGGTAAAATTAACGAAGCAGCTTATGCTTTTGGCATGGTTTAGGTGGTGGTGGCCGCTCGTGATTAGCAGACCTCAACAACCGCATCGTTTCCGTGCTGCTGGAGGTGATGTTTCTTTGGTGCCTGCTGCAACCAGTATTGACACGGTCTCATGAAACTTGCAGTGCCCAAAAGGGGACTGTGACAGCTCGCTGTTCTCTCATTTTACACAGCTTCTGTCAGTTTTTCCACTGATTTAATACCTGTGATGGGGACATTCGCTTGGAAGTTTCATCTTTGCCTCAGAAACATCTGCTCACCAGTGTTCTTTGCTATGACTGATGCACTTCTCTTGTACTGGTTTAATAATTTTTACAGTCTGCCATCACTCACATAAAGTAGATACCTCCGGCACTTGCATTTGAACTGAGACTAATGCTCTTGCTGTTTGCTGTTAATCTAAGTGACTAGGAATTTTTTGTTCTCTGCAGATGAATAAATGCAATCTGCCAGATTCCCTCCTGCTGTCACAGGGATATATTCTTTCTTAGCTTTGCTTTTTGCTTGTGGAGAAAGGCAGGCAGCTTGCTGTACACTGCCTTCCTCCCCCTGAGTGTCTTCTCCCCCAAAATCTCATATCTCCACCCAAGTGTCCTCTTCCCAAAAGTCACATATCAAAAATTTCCACTGGATGGGATTCAGAGACGGTGTAAAACGATGGTTGAAGTTGGTTTTCTGTCAGTGTGAGACAGTGCCTTCCCATAGTTTTAAAATGCTAAATAAAGCAAAACCAAGTAAAATTAAAAAGGTTTATTTAAAATATTATACTTTGGCATTTAATGAATTAAAAAAGACAGAAAGCTAATGTAAAATGAAATAAAAGGTGAAATTCCAAAATTCAGAGTTGAATTTGCGATTTCAACATGACATTTCAAAATTTCCAGATGAATATGCAGTTCCTTTCTACCCTGAGAATAGCAACAAATGTCAAAATGTTGACATTCTTCACAAAACAGTAATTCCGAGTTCTAACCAGCACTAGCTGTATATCAGCCG